AATTAAGTAAGACCTGAAGCACTGACATACAGTGGAGGTATGACATCACAAACTAGAGCCAAACAATGGGCAGACAGTAGCAAGGTGACCCCAGGAGGCCCAACCCTATGATGGGAATGTTGATCTCAAGGTCAAAACACTCAGCCTCCAGTGGTGTCACATGAGACTCCCCAGTCTGTTGTGTTTCTTCTAACAGCCCAAGACACCCTGACTGCAGAGCAGCACTCCACTTCTGGTGTGTCAGGACATAATCCACTGAGCACTTGGGAGGATCAAGGCTGCACCCACTCACTGGTGTTCCTGGCTCTGCTATCCCACAAAATTTGTCCTATTGCCCACCCTTGTTCCTATGTGAAACCTGGCTGCAAGGATCTTACCATGCACAGCCCTGGAAGCTCGTGAGTGTCCATCTCGGGCACGAATGAATCTGCAGTGCCTCCCCTCAGCAAGTTCACAGTAAGCATGGAGTGGAGAAGCCAACACAGCCACTAGTATCACTGCCTAGATGATGTCTCTGTGTGGTCCAAAGTCCTGCTCTGGGAGAAGGACAGGAGGTGGAAGACAGGCCTCTGAAAGTGTCTCTGTCCCTGGCCCTGCTGGCATTCCTGTATTCTTAGATGATGAGCCTCCTTTGTTCTCCAGAAGAAGCAATAATCAATTATGCCAGGGCACCTGAGAGACATCAGGATTAATGAATGACTGGCCAGGCTGAAAGATGTATAGACTGCAAGGCCAATCGCTGATTGCATCGATCCGTCTGCCAGACAGGTGTGTGGACTTTGGACAGGAGAGCTTTCTGTAACAGCTGCCACAGACAAGCACATTTAACCCATTGAAGCATAATGACAAGGGACAGCAGTAAGTTGGGTATATACTCAGAGGCAAACTACATTCCTAGCATGTTCAAGGCTATGGGTTCAGTCTCCATGCTGGAAACTATCAATGATCATTAATTCCCTAGTGTAGCTAGAGCCCATGTGATTTAAGTCACTCAACAATACCACTAACTAGGGATCAAGTCTTCCATACATGAGATTTTTGGGATATAGCATATCCCAGACTTAACAAGGGCTGATGGGAAGAGCTGATTTATTGGCTGTGACCTACAACAGGGCTGTACTGCTCCAGGTAAGCTGGATACCTACAATGGGTTCCCTTCAGGGATGGCACACACGTAGACCTCTACCAGACAGCTATACAGAGCACCCTTGACCTCATTGACCCATAAACACCTGTAGGTTTCAGGACATCCAGTGACATCCACATGTCAATGCTCAAGAGCCTCCAGCTCACCACACTCTGCTTACCATCAAAGTAGCAAGGCCACAGTGCCACACAGCCTGTCCACCACAAGGCACCAGACTACACAGCCTGTCCACAGTACTCTGAAGCTACGGACAAAACAGGAAACCTCGCCGGGCAGTGGTGGTGCACGCCTTTAATCCCAGCACTTGGGAGGCAGAGGCAGGTAGATTTCTGAGTTCGAGGCCAGCCTGGTCTACAGAGTGAGTTCCAGGACAGCCAGGACTACACAGAGAAACCCTGTCTCAAAAAAAAAAAAAAAACAAAAAACAAAAAAAAAAACAGGAAACCTCAAAAAGAAATCTTAGCTGAGATACCAATGGTTTAGGGTCTACTCAGAGGGAAGAGACCTAAGCAAAATCCATAGCATTTTGTTTGATATTTGTTGTTGCTTGGGGAGTTTAGAGAGTTACATTCTAAAACAAAGAAATACCCAATCCTGCAGCTCATGTAAAGATATCAGAGGCTCCTGAGCAACCAGGGCCAAAAGCATTAGAATAAGGTCAGTACTGTATGACTTTCCTCTTTCCTCTGGCCATCTTCAGGATGCTGGTGTGTATGTATTGTATAAGCCGTAAAATTATTTGAAGTTTTTTGAAACCTTTTACACAGTGTACTTTCCAAAGGAAAACAGTTTTCAGAAAAATGATTGTTCCAGCTCACACATCTGAACAAGAACCATATTCATCACTCTTCGCCCGCCCACTCATCAACTCAACCCATCTTCCTATTCACCCACTCCATCCACCCACCCACTCATCAATACAACCCATCTTCCTACCCTCCCACTCATCAATCCAGTACAGCCATCTATCCACCCACCATCATCCAGCCACTCCCCCATCTACCCGCCCACCCACCCCTCCATATACCCACCTACTCCTGTGGCCCCCCAACATTCTTTACCTATCTACTCACAATTCTACCACTGGAAAGTGCTCAAAATCCTCACAGTGGCAAATTGGAAAACTCCTGTCATGAAACCCTCTCACTTTCTATGTCCACCACATGAGACCCTTGCTTTTATTCCATTGTGTGATCAGTCCAGCACTGGAGCCCCCAGGACACCCAACAAAATCCTGAATCTTTGCAGCCCCTCCAGCCCAGCAGAAGCAAAAGACTCCACTTCAGATGCCAAAGCTATATTAAGGAAATAAGGAGCCTAATGGGTTCTACCCTAGCACCAAACCCAAGAAAGCAAGAGAAAAGCCATGTGTCTGAAGCTGTGAGCCTCACTGTATAATTTGGGAAAACATCCCCACCATTAGAAATGGCTTTCCTCCTCCAGACTTAGATGTAGTCTGTACAAGTTGGGCCAGAGGCCATTTAATCAGAAGTGGGGTTTGAAGATGCAATAAGACTTCACGGTCCCAAGCCTCCACACCCTCAGTGGTTCTGAGGACCTACCCAACTGCCTCATTTACCATCCCAGAACCAGAGCAGCAGTCTACCTGCATTTCAGCTACTAGAGAGACACGAGGCAGGGGGATCACACAAGCCCAGGGCTCCCAGACTTACCTTGAAAAACTTACTCTAGTGTAAGTTGGAGTCTAGTCTAGTTCAGTGTGGAGGCTCTTGCCTATAATCCTAGTACTCAGAAGACTTTGCATTTGAGGCTAGCCTGGTCTATATTCTAGGCCAGCCAGAGCTATGAATTGACACCCAATATCAAAAAAATAACAGGGCCTTCTATCAAACCTAATGACCTAATTTCAATCACTCAGACTCATGGGAAGAAGGAATCAACTCCCTCAAGTTGTCCTCTGATTCCCACTTGTGTACCATTGGACACACACACACATACACAGTCTCGAAAAACAAACACACAAAAAGTATGAATACTGGAGGAGAGCTAAGAAACTATTACCTCACCAGGCAGTGGTGGCACATGCCTTTAATCTCAACACTTGGGAGGCAGAGGCAGGCAGATTTCTGAGTTTGAGGCCAGCCTGGTCTACAGAGTGAGTTCCCAGGACAGCCAAGGTTATAAAGAGAAATTTCATCTCGAAAAACAAAAAACAACAACAAAAAAGGAACTATTACCTCACTTAGGTATATTGACAGATTTCTATTACCTTCATTGGTGGTTTGAATAGGTTTGGCCCCCATAGACTCATGTGTTTGCTTGCCCCACACAGAGTGACACTAACAATATTAAGGAGGTGTGGCCTTGTTGGAATAGGTGTGGCCTTGTTGGAGGAAGTGTGTCACTATAGGGGTGGGCTTCAGGGTCTTATGTTCAAGCTCCGCCCTGTGTGGAAGAGCAGTCTTCTCTTGGCTGCCTTTGGATCAAGATGTAGAACCTTTAGCCTCTTGTAGCCCCACATCTGTCTGAATGCTGCCATGCTTCTCACCATGATGATAATGAACTGAAACTCTCAGACTGTAAGCCAGCCCCAATTAAATTCTTTCTAAGACTTGCCTTGGTCATAGTGTTTCTTCATAGCAATAGAAACCCTAAGACACCTTCCTCAGTCTTCCCTCAATCTGTGAGGTCATGGCTCACACCCAAGACCTGTCCGCATGTAGAACATGCTGGAAGGCATATTCAGTCTTCAACAGGAACAAGGCCATTTACAGTGGACAGTTAGAACAGGAGCCACAAAGAACAAAAACAAAGCAAGTGGTGGCAAACATCTATAATCAGAACTCAGGAGACAAGGGCAGGAGGAGGTCAAGCCCAGCCTGCCTGGACCAGGGGCTAGGGCTGAAGCTGAGTTGGTGCAGTGCTTGCCTGGCATGCGTGAAGCTATAGGTTCCATTCCCAACACTGTACAAACCACGAATAGTGGCTGATACCTGTCATACCAAAAGTCAGGAAGGACAATAAAGATTAGGACTTGAAGACCATCCCTATCTTCTCAAAGTCATTATTAAATTGAGGATGATGACTTTGAGACCAACTGGGGTACATGATATCACAAACAACAAAATGTGGCCAGAGAGACAGCTCAGTAGTTCAGAGTACTTGCTGCTCTTGCAGAGGACACTTTGGATTTGGCTCTGTCTGACCTCAGTGTAAGTTCAAATCCCAAATTTCCATATGGCAGCTGACAACCATCTGTTACGTAACTCCAGTCGCGGGAGATCTGACACCCTCTCTTGACTTCTGGTGGGCACAATGCATACACATAGTGCACATATATGCATGCAGGCAAAGCACCCAAACACAAAATGAACTTTTTAAAAAATTAAACCCAGGCATGGTGTCACACACCTTTAATCTCAGCCCTCAAGAGGCAGAAGCAAGAGGATTTCTGAGTTCAAGGCCAGCCTGGTTTACACTCAGGAGGCAGAGGTAGGGGAATATCTGAGTTCAAGGCCAGCCTGATCTACATATCAAGTTCCAGGCCAGCCGCTACTACAGAGTAAGAGAGTCTTAAAAAACAATCAACCAAAGATACTAGGTTGACAAAAGCTAGCAGATCGGTCCTTACTGACAGTAATTCTAGAAGGAGAAAACCCAGGATGTGCTGCCTGTACACGTTTGAGTTCTAAGGCTGAGGTAACTTCAGTCACCTCCCCATGGCTCAAGCTTCCCCGAGTGTGTAGGGGAAACAAGTCCCCAAACCATCATGGTGACCAAGGTAATGGGCATCTTCACATTGAGAGTAGCCACTCAGAGAATGGCCTACAGCCATCTTCTACAGCACAGATTATAGTGGTTTTCTATAAATATAACACACTACACATAAACATATTTCAGGATTATTATTCTTTATTTGTGGTACAGGGGCTCATACCCAAGGCCTTGCATTTGCTAGGTTAGATTTCTACATCTACACTATATAACACAAGGTGCTGGAGTAGAAAAATCATATATTACTTCTTTTGAATCTTGATTGTAAAAGACCCAAAACCACATTGATAATATCTACCTGGATGTAGAAATTAATTACATACATATAAAATCGCATAAGGAATCTAAATGGGAGGCTTTAATGAACCAAGTAAAATATTGTATGTACACATGAGTATAATACAGCTTAGCTGTGAGCATACAATTAAGGTAACTTAGTTTGGAGAAAGAACAACCCCACTTCCCCACCCAACAATCATTGAGGGAGAAAAACATCATTTGGTTAGTTGTGCTGGGTATAACTGCCCTCTAGGGCATAGCTTCATGCCCGCAACAGACACCTACATTAGGACCTTCTGGGAGATGAAGATTGGCCATATATGAATGCACATACCAACCCAGGGCTCCTAGACCGCTAAGTCTTGACAGTTAGGGAAAATTAAGGTCACTTGTTCACATTTTTGTGGCTTCCATGTAAAAATCACTTTTAGAGATGCTTTCATTCAAAAGACTCTGATCTAACAATCTTACCAAAGAAAGCTAGTCTAGCCTCAAGTCCACATATAAAAGCAGAGAGGTGAGCAACTTTCCAATTAGTTACCACAGCAGGAGCTTCACACAGTGCTGTTTTCTCTTTGAGGAGCACTGCTATGCTGTTCCTTCCAAAAACCTCACGTACTGTACCCGGGCATCAAAATGGTCAGCTGGCCGGTTGTATGGTGTCCACACAGGCTCTCCAACAAACAGCCGCATGGCCTTCACGTAATTCTAGAAAACAAGCCCCACATCTCATTGAACACTCCTACTCATCTGTCTGGGAACCCTTGACGCTGTCTCACCTACTTAGGGCTGAGCTCTGTCTGACCTCAGTGGGAGTGACCACTGCCAGGCAGCAGAAGAATCTGTAGCTCCTGATTAGGGTCTACACTGAAGCAGAAATAAGTTTGGACTCTATCCACCCTCCTTGTTTCATCCCCTGAACACAGCACTCCTAGGGACCAGCCCCAGGCCCTGCTGCTGGTTGGTAAGGGAATAACTTGTCAGCAGTTGTCTAAACAGGAAATGCAGTCTCCATGCAGCCCTTCCCTTCATCCTACAAATAAACGTACACAGGTAAACGTGACAAATGTATGTTACTTACAGAACTACTGACAGCCATAAGCAAAGTAGAAATAAGCTTATCACTAGGGATTCCCCACACAGTGCATAAATTGCAGTTAAATAAATCAGGATCAGGCATGTCTGACAATGCAGCTGTAAACAAGCAGAAGGAGCCGGGCAGTGGTGGCGCACGCCTTTAATCCCAGCACTTGGGAGGCAGAGGCAGGTGGATTTCTGAGTTCGAGGCCAGTCTGGTCTACAGTGTGAGTTCCAGGACAGCCAGGGCTACACAGAGAAACCCTGTCTCGAAAAACAAAAACAAACAAACAAAAAAAAAACCAAGCAGAAGGGCCCTTTATGCACCCCCCCCCAAAGCACATCAAGCAGAAAAAGTAAAATGCAGAGCCCACTGCCTTCTGGGTAAAAGGAGGAAAGAATTGTGACTCTTGAGTATACAAACACCCTCAAAAACAATGGTTCTCAACCTGTGGGTCACAACCCCTCTATGGGTCATATGGCAGGTATCCTGCATATAGGAATATTGCATTACAATTCATAACTAACAAAATTGCGGTCATGAAGTAGCGAAAAATTAATTTTTTATGGTTCCACAGCATGGGGCACTTTATTAAAGGGCCCCGGCATTGGCAAGGTTGAGAACCACTGCTCTAAAGGAACTATTAAAATATAGACACTGGCGCCCTTCCAGGAGAAAACTGGGGCCGTGAGGAACAGAGAGGACACTCACTATTAATAAACACTCTGAAGCACTTGGGAGGCAGAGGCAGGCGGATTTCTGAGTTTGAGGTCAGCCTGGTCTACAGAGTGAGTTCCAGGACAGCCAGGACTACACAGAGAAACCCTATCTCGAAAAAAACAAAAAATAAAAAAATAAAAAATAAATAAATAAATAAATAAAAAATAAACACTACTCATCTCCTAATTTTTTCATTTTTATTTTAACTTGTTTTTCTGGGTTTTTTTGATACAGGGTCTCATCTAGCCCAGCCTATTCTTGAAACGTGACATACAGCTGCAGGTGACCTTGAAGTCCTGATCCTACCTAAACCTCCCAAATGCTGAAATCACAGGCATATGCCATCAGACCTGGCTTCCTAAATCTGAATCTTCAGTCATGTGCATTTATCTACTACTCACTTGGAAGGCTAGAGGGATGGCTCAGTGGTTAAGAGTACATGCTCTTGGAGAGGGCCCAAGTTCAGTTCCCAGCACCCATGTGAGGTGGCCCACAATCACAACTCCAGTTCCAGGAGAGCCAACACCCTCTACTGGATTTTGTGGGAACTGCATTCATATGTACATACTCCAAAGGAGATATACATAATTTAAAAATAAAAATTTATTTTTTTTAATTAACTTGGCTGAGAATGTAGCTCAGTTGTTAGACAGTCTGTCCAGCGTGCATGAAGCCCTAGGTTCCATACCCAGCACCAGAGAAATCAGGATTGGTGGTAAACACTTGCAATCCCAGCAGTGGAAGGTAAAGATAGGAAGATCAGGATTTCAATGCATCCTCAACTACATAGTGAATTTGAGGCCAGTCTGGAATACATAAGACACTGTCTCAAAGACCAAAAATAATACTTAAATGTCAGGTTTAACCCAAATCATCCTGACACACTAAGAATTAATTCCTGTGCTTACTTCCAGTCCTAATAACTGTACTGCAAAACTGCTGAGGAACTCCCCAGATGAGAGAACCCCCACACTACAGGTGTATTACAGCCACAAGCCCCAAGTCAATGACGAGTACAGGCTCACCCCGGGAGCACTCCCTCCTGAAGATATCTGCTCCTTGCCCAAAGCTGTGTAGATAAATGTTGCCTTACTATCCAACAAGAACAAAGGTGAAATTCTGCCTTCCCTCCCAGGCTATGGCCATAGGCTCTTCTGGTTCCACTGGCTCTCTCTGAAAGAGCTGTGATTGACCACATGTCTAGGTGATAAGCCTCACACAACACGGCTAGTGGGTCATCATGGTCACCTGAGATGTCTATGCACAGACCACAGCATGGCACACTCTCACCTTCTCGTCCAGTGTGAAGCGGTGATAGATGCCAGCAGGAAGCGTAATCATGTCCCCCTTCTCCATGGAAATCCGGATCCACTTGTCCTCCTTGTCCCTGACATCGAAGTACCCGCTGCCCTCCAGGATGTAGCGGATCTCCTCATCCAGATGCAGATGTTCCTCAAAGAACATCTTGATCTAGTGCAAGAGGGAACCTGTGAGTTTCATGGAGACCTGTCATGCAGACCCGGCCCTTACAGCTAGACTACAATGAATGATACATGCTATTAAAAGTATCAGGAGCTGAGCCAGGGAAATGACACCATCGATAAAGGCACCTGCCACCAAGATGATGTCTTAAATTTAATCCCCAGAGCCCAAATGGTAGGAGCAAACTGAGACAGGGTCTCACGTAGTCTGTCCAGGCTGTCTTCTTGCTATGTAGCTGAGATGACCTTGAACTTCTGATCCTCCTGTCTTCACCTACCAGATGCTGAGATTACCTACCTGAGACCATGCTCCACTCTAAATGACTCTATACCACTAAATGCAAATGGTCCCAGTAAAGTAGTCAGGTACCCATCCTGAAGACACCACCTCTAAGCTCACAGGAAAACATATCGTCCAACCAACAAGTCTAGGGAAAAGCCAGATACAGAACTGTGAATCCCATGAAGAAAATCCCAAGCCAATCCAAACATCACTAGTGGATCTACCACACATAAGGGACACACTACCACCAGATTCATGCCCCTCAAAAGAGCTGAAAGGGAATCACCGGACTGGAGAGATGGCTCAGTCTGGAAGAACTGACTGTTCTTCCAGAGGTCCTGAGTTCAATTCCCAGCAACCACACGGTGGCTCACAACCATCTGTAATAGGGTCTGATGTCCTCTTCTGTTGTGTCTGAAGAGAGCAATGGTAGTATACTCATATGCATAAAATAAATAAGTAAATCTTTTAAAAACGGGGGTGGGGAATCACCCCAGCTCATTCTATGAGAACAGCATTGTGAAGGAATTTTAATCCAGCAACATGACTGCTCTGGCAACCAAAGACCTAGGTCTGTGTGATCCAGTGCGATCCAGCTGGAATGCAAACACACCACACACCTTTAATCCCTCTATCTGAAATACAAACATGCCCTTAGTCCCCACCTTTAATCCCAAACAATGAAAGGAGGGTTAGTTTACAGAAGGAACCAACCATGTTTGAAAATGATGTCTGAGAGGCATACATAGTGAGGAATCAGAAAGATTTCGCAGAACGAGTCAGAGATAGGATATGCCCAACTCTCACTAGAACAGCAGAGGAAAGAGGTGACGTAAGCAAGCACATGCTTGGTGATTCTGGAGGAGGCAGTTTTATAGAGATAGGTTGCAGAAGATTAGAACAGATTGCCACAGTTTGAGACCAAGCAGAGATTTTTAGTCCGAATCTAAGAGATGCCAGTTTGAATTAGTCAGCTTCAAGAGAAGTTTTGAACCAGAACAGCTGAGTTGAACCAGCCAGCCAGAGTTCAGGAAGAACTAGAGTGAGTGTATTAAGCAGTAATCCTCATGTAAGTAAGACAATTACAAAGCATTGCTCTGCCCCAAAACCACACTGAGAAGAAAGTCTTGTGGTAAGAGGCAGGAAGGTAAGGATTCTCTCCAAGCCAGGCCTGCTCACCTTCTCCTCATAATTGGGAAGTGTATCTTTGCATATGGTGATGATGTCCATCCATGAGTAGTTTCTCGTTTTCCGGATCTTTTCCAGTTCTGGATCGTTCTCATACTTGTCAGCATCAAGCTACATAAGTTTAAGCAAAGTGGAGGTCACCTTAGCGCAAGGATGTATAGCAACTGAGCTAGTAGTACAGCTCCCTGGTACAGCGCTTGCCTCCTAGTACACAAGGCTCTAGGTCTGCTCCCCAGCCCTATGATGGAAGCATAGCAACATGGTCCTTCCAGACCTGTGGCTGGATCATCCTAACAGAGTACTGCTTGTTCCTTGCCAGTCCTAGCACAGCCCTCCACCTCCTCTCTTGATGGATTGTCCATGTTCACAGTGCCAGGGGGACATTCCAGTTCTGCTGGAGTCTTGCCTGCCTCTGCCAGCAGTCCTGCTGGGTTCTCCACATTTTCAGATGAAGTTCTTATTCCTCACAGATGCTAAGACACAGCTCACTCAGTGTGCATGACCACTCACTCTGCCATTTTCCATTCAGCAAGTCTTACTAGGCTCTCTGTGGGCAGCATGCTTCCCAGGCTCACAGACCAAGCTCAAGTTCATTGAGATGAACTGAGAGAGCAGCAATCCTCTGGCCCCATTTGACTTTTCTGCTTCACTCTGCTCCATCCTTCTACAAAAAGAAATTCTTCTACAAAAGAAATCTCAATCCTAAATTAAAAAGAACCATTCACTATTCTTAAAAATGACTGAATAGTGTTGTGTGGCCCATGACTGTAATTCCAGCTATTCAGAATGCAGGAGAGAACTGTGAGTTGGAAGCTAGCCTGGACTTACATAGCAATAATCCATCTCAAAAAGGAAAAAAAAAATAATACATACTCAATACCCTTTCATAGCAAGGTCCCACCTCTCACGTTCCCACTCACAATTTCTGATTTATCACAATCCTACCTATTCTTTAAGCTCCAAATCCAAGGACACCTTCTTCCTGACTCTCTCTCCAAAGGCTCCTGGTAGAACTAATCTGAAATCCTACATGAAAGTACTGGCAATGAATTTAGTGACATTTAGTTTTGTTTTACGATGAAGTGCACATTTTATTATTATGGGACAGGACACCAACACACAGGCATCAGTATATTTTATGTGTACAAGTGTCTTGCATGCATGTATGTCTGGGCACCACTCTAGGGTATAATGTCCACAAAGGCCAGGAGAGAACAAGAGATCCCCTGGAACTGGAGTTACAGATAATTACGAGCCGATGGCAATGGAACCTGTGCTCTTAGCACCTAGCCATATATTATACATATACATACATATATACATATATGCAATCCTGAAGCATAATCCTGAATATGCTCCTTCCTAACCCGTGTGGAAACTTCATCCACAGGATGACATAAAAGATAGGCCTCCTGGTGGAGTCACAACTGCTCCTGACTGAGTGGCTTTACTGCACTGGGGAGCTATTTAAGACTTCTGTGATTAGTTAGTTGTAAGTGGGCCTTTACCAGACACCGAAAGCACCTGATCGGGTTCCAGTCTCTACTGTCCAGCCAGTTTCTGTTGTTTACAGATTATCCCGTATAGACACAAAGCCCTGAGTCTGACTCCTAATCTAAAGTATCGATGATGACCCCAGGAAGGGACGAAGGCAGTATTCCAAAGGAAAGTGCTCTGCCTCCAACTTTCAGTCACGAGAGTTCTTTCTGTCACTCCGCTCTGTCCCCTATCCCTAGCAACTTCTGCCGTGGGAGCAAAGACTAACTCCTCAAGAGGCCTTGCTGAGCAAACCTCCCACCCTCCCACCCCACTCCAACCCCAACCCCAACCCCACAACCCTGAGGCACGGCTTGCAATAGGTCACTTGGCTTCAGTTTACTAAAAGTCACTAATTTGGGAAGCCACTAGGTCATGAATGCCTAGATTACTTCTCAGAAACTGGAAGGCTGTGTTTTTTTAAACCACTCTTCAAGCCTGAGCTGGTGTCCCACGAGTGACCTTTTGATCCAGGAGAACAAAAGTGCATTATCATCACATCTGTCCCATGCAGAGCCTTGATTTCGTATGTGCACACCGCAGATTCTTCTCCAATGACCTATTTCCTTGCTTCCTATCCCCAAAATATCCTATTCCTTGCAGACATAGATTTGAGTGTCACCCCCACCTTAATGTGGCCACCCCACACATCGACTCTACAGCGTCCACAGGTCGTTGCTTCAGCCGTGGGCACAAAAGTGGTGAGCAGGCCTTCATGGTTTTAAGGGACATGACTCTGCAAAGGATTCATCAAAGGCATGGCTCCGGCCAGTTTGCATTTCATTTTGACCGTACCAATACAGACAGGCTAGATCCAGTTAACTCTCCACCAATCTCAGACTCTCTGCGGCTTTGTTACCGGCGACTGGCAGCTGGCCATGCTTTTGCAAACATTAGCTGTGAGCGAGTGCCACGAGAAAAGCAGGCTCCATCAGCTCACAGCCTTCTCCGCCGTTACAGAAATCTTTGGAAACAGCGGCCTTGCTGAGCTTGCGCAGCGCCCCACCACCACCACCCGCCGCCACCGGCGTGCGCGTGCGCAGGCGCGTGGTATTCCAGCCTGCACTCGTACCTTCCAATAGAGCACTCCGAGCGTGCGCAGCTGCTCCAGGCTCACAGGGCGGTTGGGCTGTGCGCGGTGTGGCATCCGCGGGTCGGCCGTGGACTCGTCCATATACCAGGCCTGCACCATGGTGGCGGCGGCGGCTTCCACAGACTGCCTGGAGGGGGCGGGGTTTGAACGAGCCGGAACCGTTGGGCGGGGTATGGGGCGGAGCTGTCCGGAGGGCGTGGCCGCTCAGGTGGAATCCAGGACCAGGAAGGGCTCAGATGAAAGCATAGCCACAGCCTCACCAATTATATGTCTACCCTGTTTAATTTGCTGATGCTGTGATAAAATACTATTACAAGGGCAGCTTTCAGGCAGAAAAGGTTTATTTACTCACAATTCCAGGTTAAATTCCATCATTGGGAGCAGCAGAACTGTCAAAGCAAGAACTTAAAGCAGCTAGTTCACAGCCAAGAGCAGAGAGAAATGAATGCTCAGCCCCTGTCTATACTTTCTTTTTGAATTAATATGATCTAGATAGTCCTCCATAGACTGGCCACAGGCCAACGTAATCTAGACCATTTCTCATTAATACTCACCTCCTAGGTGATTCTAGCTATGTTAAGATGACAGTTAAAACCGGGCAGTGGTGGCGCACGCCTTTAATCCCAGCACTTGGGAGGCAGAGGCAGGTGGATTTCTGAATTCGAGGCCAGCCTGGTCTACAGAATGAGTTCCAGGACAGTCAGGGCTACACAGAGAAACCCTGTCTCGAAAAATCAAAAAAAAAGAAAAAAAGAAAAAGAAAGAAAAAAAGAAAAGAAAAAAGAAAGTCTCATTGGTGGGACTTAGAACTAATACGATGCACTGGCTAATTCTTTATCTGGGTGAACAGGGTGTTATAAAGAGTGAGGACGACAAATGCCTGTCATCTCAGGGTTAGGTAAACAGGAGCACACAAGATTTTCACAAATATGTTTATGGAATACTAGCCCTTGGTGAGATAGCCATCTCTGATAGAATAAAATTATTATATTTTGAAGGTAAAACAACTGAGGCCCAGATAACTTTAAGGAATTTTTGCCCACAGGAAGTGCTAAGGGAGGGGTTTGAATTCAGGAAGCCTCACCCAGAAGTGTCTGTATATAGCTGCTAAAATACAGAGCAAGAAGCAAAACCTTTGTTCAGCCATAGAAATAACAGTCTTGAGTCAGGAAGGCTGCCCCTCTTCTGCTTCTGGCTAGAGAGGCACAGCAGGATCCCTGAGCACTGTGTGTTGGCTTCTGTCTTATGCAGAGATGTTTTTCTGTCCCATCTGGGATGAGAGAGGGCAGCGGGTTCATGCCAAGAAAATCATACTTTAGAAAAGTAAGACGGTTGAGATGCCCCAAGGAATTGGGGGTGGGGGAGGACTCCGAATTTGCCAGCAGACCTGTCGATCTCCTGCAGCCATCCTGCCCATGAGAGTTCTCCTTTGAAGGAGACTCTTCTGAACTTGAACTGTTTCTTCCAGAATAGCCAGCAGCAGCCCAGAATCATGTTTCATGATCAGAATTTATTGCCCCAGTTAAGAACCAGGAGAGAACAGTTCACATGTTTTGAAAAACAGCTAGTCTCCATCATTGCAAACCTACCCGGGCTGGTAACCCTCTAGGCTTTGAAAGAACGTGAGGGTAGTGTGTAGGTTCCTATATAACAGTTTTTCTTGTTGTTGCTGTTGGTTTTAGTCAGGGTTTCATCATGTAGCCCTGGCTGGCTTAGAGCCTTCAGACCAAGCTGGACTCACACCAGTATTTGCCTCCCTAGTCCTGGGATTAAAGGTGTGTGCCACCATACCCAGCCCTATACTGGTCATTTCTAAATATAAAGGCTAGTCTTAGGTTTGAGCATAGGAATGCATTAATGTGATTCTAGCACTTGAGAAATTGAGGCAGGAGGATTAAGAGTTTAAGGCCAGGCTGAGCTAATAAGCAAGATTCAGTCTCAAACAACAGCAGTAGTAACAAAAACATGCGGGAATTAGCCAGTACTGTATTAAAAAAAATGAAAAACCAAAAACAACAAAACTTTTTTTCTGTTGTTTTTTTGGTTGTTCTGTTTGTTTGTTTGTTTGTTTGTTTTTCTGTGAAATAGCTCTGGCTGTCCTGGACTTGATTTCTTGATGTGCCAACCAGACTGGCCTCGAACTCACAGAGATCCACCTGCCTCGGCCTCCAAAGTGCTAGGACTAAAGGCCTGTACCATCACAAATGGTTTACAAAAACACTCTTTTTTTTTTTTGGTTTTTCAAGAAAAAGTTTCTCTGTGTAGCCCTGGCTGTCCTGGAACTCACTCTGTAGACCAGACTGGCCTCGAACTCAGAAATCTGCCTGCCTCTGTCTCCCAAGTGTACAAAAACATTCTTAAAGATTTATTTATTTTGTTTTGTTTTATGTGTATGAATGTTTACTTGCATACGTGGATATTTATGCTCCACAAATATTTAATGCCTGAAGAGGCCAGAAAAAGACCTTAGGTCTCCTGGAACTGGACTTACCAAGAGTCGTGAGGCACCATGTGGGTGCTAGTAGCCAAATGGATCCTCTACAAGAGCAGCTGGTGCCCTTAACCACTCTACAGACCCACAGAATAGTCTTAAGCTGAAAAGTCATAATAGAATCCCAGCACTAGAGAGGCCAAGGCAGAAGGGTAGTAAATTTGAGGCCAGCATTTTCTCAAAAACAATAAAATCCTTAGCTCACAGAGCATTCCAAAGAGGTAACAGGATGTACCTGGCTCTGTTTAACTGTGGGTCCTGCTGTGTACTATTAATAATTTTTATCTGCTCACTATGTACCTACCTTTCCTGACCATGGCGGGTAGGGATACGCAGTCATGAGATTTTACCTTGTTTGCAAGCTAACAGGTTAGCCCTGCCCAGGGCATGGATGTAACCCAGAGAGACCTCACACAGTGATGAGTGGGAAAACGCTGTCAGACTGCCAGCATTTCTGCACAGGTTCCTGACCACAGTGCCCACCATGACGGGAGTAAGTCCTGCAGCTTCACCCAGTGGGCTGAATAGAGAAGGGGAGCGTGGAGCTGAGGGAGCCACGGTCTGCCCTCCATGGGCTCATGTCCAGGTGTGCAGCCGCAGGTTGTGCTTCCGGTACACAGAGTGTTAAGACCTATCTTCTAGTTGTGATTTAGCAGGGTCAGTGGCATTTTCCTGCTTCAGCAAGGACAGTTTTAAGAAATGTCTTATTCTTACCTTTGTAAACCTGTGTGAAGACTATAGTGACTGCTGAGAAGCCGGTCACATGGCCTGTTTCACCTTAGGAGCAGACACCTGAGCCTTCAGTGGACCATTAACATATTACTTCCGCTGGCTGTGCCACAGTCGCTCCAAGCCTCACCACACTTTGAGAGCCCTATTTCTTGTCCTTACTGTTTGGACACTTTAGGATGCAGATAGCAGGACTCCAACAAGGTGTTTCGGTTCACACACCTAAGAAGGATTACAATGGCTTTCATTGAGGCTGAATGCCGCTCTCAGATGTTAACCAGTCTGTCTCCAGCACATTTGCCCCCTCCCAGTTCTTCTCTCTTCCTGTCCTCCTTTTTCTCTCTCCTTCCCTCCTTGTATCTTGTATCCTCTCCTGTCTCACTCCATTCCTCAACCTCTTTTCTCTGTGTAGTGGCTTATTAGTTTAATATTATATATAGTATATATATATATATATATATATATATATATATATATATATATATATTTGTAATTAATGTATTAACCCATCTTCTATCCCACTGCTATAATACAAAACCAGAGGCTCTGTCTGTTCTTTATAACAAAAAGATTTATTTAGGTCATAAGTTGGCCTCTGGTAAAGAACACCAGCTGCATTGCTTCACAGAAGACAGTACCATGGCAGGAACATGTTTAAGAGACACAGGAAGCCAGAGATGTTCTGGAGCCAGGGTCTTCTGTCACCTTCGCTGACAGGAAGTATGTGAAGTCTAGAGAAAACTAATGGGTCCTTCTGAGGACAGTAGCCTGACTGCCTGTTAAAGGTCCTGCCACCTCTCTGCTTGAGGACCAGCATGAACTTTCCACACATGGGCTCTGGAGATAGATGCAAACCACAAGACAGCCAACAGCAACCGTCTCTACAGCTTACTAGTAATTCAGAGGAAGGGCTCTTTATGTAACATCTGGCATCCAGTCTTCTGAAAAATTCTAGGCAGCACAGCTAAAGCAAAACATCGAACAATCAAACAAACAAAAACCCACTCAAAAAAAAAACACCTGTGGATATCTGTAGGACTGGGACATTGCTCTGAGCAGCAATCAGTTAGGGTCAGGACCAGGCAAGAGAGGCCAAACAGAACCATGCCAAGGCAGATGTACACACTCACTGCCAGGCTGTCTAAGCCTCTTGCTTCCTGTGTGTCCAGTAGAGGAGAGACTTGAGGGACACAGGAGGTAAGCAGGACTGCACTTTCCCTGAGTTCTCAGGCCCTCTACATGGCCAGTTCTACTCAGACCCCCGCAGAAAAATGTGTAGCCCACCTGTTGTGGAGCTTAGCTTCAAACTACTTTCCCTGTTAAGGTCAGAACTGAATTAATGTCTTCAAACTGGAACGGCCCGGAGGGCTTTGTGGGGAATGAAAAATGCTAAGGGGGGTGGGCTTAATAACTAATTGAAGATGCAGCAATGGCTGGAAGCTAAGTGAGACTCCCAGGGTACAGGAGCTAGCATCGGACAACAAAGAACGGAAAATAACAGTGTGCCCTGAAACTCAAGAGTCCGTCTATAAATAAGCATGGGTAACTAGAAGACATGGATAATGAGAATCTCTGAGACTGACATGGATCCCACACATCAAGGAAACCTAGTGAGTGCCTACCAGACAGGAAACAAGTATGTTTCTGCCTCTGGCTTAAACAAGGAACGATCCCAGAATACCTTTCGAAGCTTGCTTATCAAATGTTGGAATTGTCGAAGTTGGGTGACAGAGAGATAGCTATCTACACTTGAAAGTGCCCAATAAGATTTTGAAGTTATTATCTGTGTATTAAGAAGCAAACCAGCTGAGCCACACACCTTTAAACTCCAGACCTGGGGAGACAGAGGGAGGTGGATCTCTGTGAGTTTGAGGCTCTACAAAGAGAGTTCCAGGACAGCCAAAACTACACAGA